AGACAACCTTTTGCTGTCAAACAACGTCATAATTTAATAAGTAAAAGTTTATTAATATTTAGCAATACAACCCTGAGTAGCTATAATATTCTTTAAATATTGTATTGCTATATTGTTCTGTTCATTGCTACTGTTGTCCCGTTTTACCTTTTGACTATTCTTACATCATTGATGATGCTATTCATTGCTATTGTACTATTCGTCTTTATCGATACAGCTGGCTAAATAATTAGTATAAATAGTGTTGTAATAAATCAGTATATATTATATAGGTATATATATATATATATAGCACACCGACTAACTTGCAGCATCGACATATATAAATGTTTTATATTATTATTATTTCATTTATTCCTTAATTTTATATCATGGCTCATTTATAAATTTTTAATTTTTATTATATATCTTTGTTTCAAATAATTTTATATTTTATTAATTTACACTTAATTTTATATATTTTATATATAATTTTATATATATGTTTGTATTTATATCAATACAAACATTGAGCACTTGCATTGCATTTGTGTACGAAGTATTTAGTGCTTGGATTGAATATGTGTTGTTTGCATTTTTATGCTATTATGCTTTATATATATTATCAAAGTTTCTTTTATTACGTTCTATCATTTATATTTTTTACGTTCCCTACGTCTGCATTAACAAATTCGGTATATTTACGTGAATGCGTGCTATTGTTTTATGGGGAAATTAAAAACAGCTGTTAATCGGACGGCATCCAACATAAAAATTTAGTGTGAATATAAAAGAGATGAAAAGTCGCAAAACATGTGTTTCATTATTATTATCTATATAATATATAAATAATTAGTTATTAAAAATCTCTCAAATTATGTTTAATGTTTATGTTTAATACATATGTGAGCATATTTTCTGAAAATATATATTAAGGTCGTGTGCCAGTTAGGCTAAGTTGCGTTCTAAATGAGGGAAATTCTAAGTTGTGTCGACAATGTAGTGATGTGTCGATACGTGTTGATAAATGGCTAAAAGTGTGCAGTGCAAAAAATCCCAAAAAATCATCCCATCTGGTTTAGCATCAACTTAGCCTAACTCGCACACGTCCTAAGTACATTTTGCTTGATTCATATGTAGATATATATTTATGTTTGGACTAAATATAACACCACTGATCTACGTTAAATAATAAACAACTTTATGAGTTAGTTTAAAAAATCTTTTATTGTTACTGGTATGACGACTATAGTTTATAATTACGTTCAGCACCTTGAATTTATATTGAATATATAGGGTACTGAAGATACCTATACACCATATACCATAGTCATAATATCAGTAGCAATAAAATACTAAATAAAATTAATTTGAAAAGTTATATACTGTTTAATATTGTCTAATTAAGCCGTACAAAAAAAATGTGTAAATAGTCATATATAAACTAATCAGTATATAAAATAATTTATTACCCAGAAATAAAGAATTAAAGAATTAAAAGTTCTTCATTTACTGCTGGGTCTTATTGTTAGCGATTTGAAACATAAACGCTGTTGCCCTTCTTTAAAAGCGACTCCAGATAGGATTATATTTTTACCTATAAATTTAATTAACACAATTGCTATAATTCATTTTGCTAAGAAAGGGTACTGAACAATAAGAAACTACATACTAGAAAGTATCTAAAACCAGTTGTTGGGTCATTGTTCACTTTTGCTGCACAACACGAAGTTATCCTCGTGTTCGCTAAAAATCTGTTCACACGGCAAATTTTAATTTAAACTTGATTTTATGTTTTTTTTTTTTTTATAATTGGCTTTTAATTGCAAATAGTCACATCATAGTGCTATTATAAAATACAAATTTCATTTCATTTTATTTTACGCCAATTTAATAATTTCCACTATCATATTTTTGTTTGAAATCGGTTTATGATTCTACGGGATTTTGTAAGGAAGCAAACCGAATCAAATGGATATAATTTTAAAACAGTTAGCTGCAACACACTTTAGTGATACGGGCCTATTTGAGTCACATACAACTTCTTATGTCTTATTTCTATTCAAATTTTCCTATATCGCTACGATATATAAATCGTTACTTTGTGAAAGGAGAGTTAAATCGAGGATTTAACATATATTTTTCTTGCTTCCACAAGAAGCTTTAAACCTGAATCCAAAAACCTAATTCACACTAATATTTTCTGTGTGATTGAAGCTGTCAAAATTTTTCATTATGCATTGAAAGCAACAACAATTGACTTCTAAAACTACAAAGATGTGACAGCTAAAATTACAAATAAAATTCTCGTATGAATTCAATATTAAGCAATCAAATTTTCCTGTTAGGCCATACATCCCATATAAAGAAAAAATGCTTTGAGTATTCTTCAGTTCCTTCAATTCTTAAGTTCTTATATTTCTTTTAATAATATTTCTTCTAATAATATTTTTTAATAATCTTTTTTATGTAAAAACTATTTATCTGTTCTTTCTTTTAAAATTATTTCGATTGCATTTATTATATTACAACTATTCTATAAATAGGACCTACTCGTGTCGTGTAATAGGTACATAATACTTTTAAAAACTTTATTGGTCAAGATAATGTAACACTGTTATCCCAAAATACTGTTATGATGTGGATGATTGGCAACACTGTTATATTAAAGGTTCGATATCGTTCGGAAGCAGACGTGTACGGAAAGTTTTATCCAATTTTTATTAAAACAATTTATTATTCAATATATTCAATACGAACGGATAATGTAAGTTTGATTGAGAAAAAATATAGATAATTTAATATTAGTAAGTTAATATTATTAATTATTATATATATTTAAAGTATTTTTAAAAAAATACAAAATTTAATAAACTGATTAAATGGGAATTGATCAGATATTAAAATATTTATTTATTTGTTATATTTAGCAATAAAGTTCTAAATAAATAAATAATATATTTTAAAAGATAAATAATATTTTTAAGTAAATTTTTACACATTTATTAATACTTTTTTTTTTATGAAAAAAGTCGATAAATACGTCGGCAGCTATATATTTCTAAAACAAAATGGCCGATAGAAACTTCTGGAACATAATTACATATATATGCATATGTACATTTTGTCTTATATGTTTTTCCTAATCTTAATTTTTTACCGCCATCTTTTTCAGTAACAGTGTAAAGAATTAATAATTTACGAAAACACTTTTTTAAGACAGTAATAACATTAATATTTATTAATAATACTCTGAGCTCGCTAAATAATTTGTTCGCTTCCCTGCTTATCTACTTTCTCCAATTCCTTTTATCCTATGGATTTCATTTTAATGCTGAGTGTGCAATTTCACTAACCGGTTTACGCAGGGTCTGTTCCAGCCGGAATATATTACTATGTGGTTCAATGATGCGATTTAAAATTATCTTCGTGAATATTTTGTTTACTTTTAGCAGCACAGAGATAACTCTCCACTTAGAGCATTTTTTTCTGTCTCCTTTTTTAATGATTTTGACTATGATAATCTATTTCCATTCTTTTGGAATATATTCCCTGTTTCATACCTTAACAAACAAAGGATGCAACTCTTCGGATATTGTTTCCGATATTGCTTCAAATAATTCTGCAAGCAAGTTGTCGATGCTTTGTCAGATTTTAGACATAGAATTACCTTGTATATTTCTTCGATACTGGGTGGTCTGCATTCTATGAATCTAATGAAATTATATAGTGTGACCCCTTGTAACTATTCACTATTTTCATTGTTTTCGTCATGTTTTATATTAAACGTTCTTTCGAAGTGTCTTTTCCACACTGCCATATGTCATTTTCAACAGGTACTGTACTGAAATGTTTTTAACAGTTATATCACGACTTATCTTGATCACTTCTCCTTTCTCTGAGGCAACTTGGGCTGCTAAACCTAGCTTATTATAGTAGCTCTGCTTATCATGTTTCGTTTTGTAACTTTCCTTTACGGTATCCCGCTTTACGGTTGCATTTAATAATCTTATTTTAATATCTATTGTTCGTGAATCTATCGATAAGATTCCAAAGTTGTTGAGATAACAATTTCTTTTTTTTCAGATCTTCTACATACAAGTCGTTTATTGTCTTTTTTAAGTCCTCCCACATTAAATCAACATTTCTGTTGTGTGCAGTTGAAGTGTAAGCTATTTGTTTCTTAAATGTGGTTTTAGTGTTATCGCATTGAAGTTTAGTCACATGTAACTTACGCCGACTTGTGGGTTGTTGTCCATGTTTTCGATATAGTTGCAGCCTAATTTCAGTCACTACGATGTAATGGTCACTACCAATCTCTGCATTTCGTTTGTTTCGTACATCACATAGTATATAGCATCATTTTTATGATACACTTATATGATCAATTCACGTCGTTGTCACACCATCTGGAGATTGTCAAGTAATTTTATGACTTCTTTTATAAGGACATATAGAGCCACTAATTTTTAGCTCAGTGTTTAAGCATAGCCTAACGCGTGAGTTCCCATAATTTATTCGAAACCAGCATACATCGATTCCATTTGGACATTAAAATCTCACATTTCAATTATTATATCTCTCTAACATACACCTTATAGTGTACTTTCAAGCATATTGTAAAACCAATTCTTTTCTTCTCACTCAATTCTTTCAATGGGTGCATAACACTATTTCACAGTTATGTTAAGTTTCTATTTTTTTTCAAAACATTATTGTATTTTTAATACCTTTGCTTAAATAAATTTCCACTCCTCTAATGTACGGGTCGTTTTCGCCAGACATCCTATTATTACAAAAAAGTAATAATATTAATATTTATTTACAAAAAATTTGATATGATATAATTTTGGGACATATAAAAATTATATATATATATTAGGTATTTATTTTGTATAAATTTATTATTGATATGGTAACACTGTCTTCTAAGAAACTGTCAATTACGTTGCCGACAATGTGTATTCGTTTATATATATAAAGCTCGTTGAAGTTTGTTCCGATTATTCAGTTCTTAGACTTTGTCGTAGGTGGTGGTGTATAATTTTAATAATAAAGTTCGTATTACATTTTTTTATGTGCCGTAGGAAATATTCATTTGCTAGGTGAGTTTATTAAGTAAAAATTAAATATTTATTGCAAGCTTAATAACAGCTTAAGTCTTTGTAACAATATTTTTTATATTAGAAAAATTTTTTAGCGCTTATCTGAAATTGTTTTGATATAATTCATTTTATCTAATTATTTTTTTTAGAGAAAAGCACCAAAATAATTTTTTGGCGCTTATTTAAAATTTTTTTAATATAATTATTTAATTCTAATCATTATTGTATAATTACATATAAATACATTATTTTAAAAGGTTTTTGTTAGTATATGTAAAAGTGCCACTTTCATAATACCACATAGATATTTCTAGAAAAAATATATCGATAATAAATTTTCACTATTAATTGATTAAAAAGTTTTGTGTCCAAATACGAAAATCTTACTGGTATTTAATAAATATTTTATTCTTATTTAAATAATTTTTTCTTTTATAACGTAAGAACTATAGAATCTCAAACTCCAGTATCTCAAATTCCAGAATCTCAAAAATTCCAGAATCTCAAATTTCAGAATTTCACTTAGAGGTAACAAAAAAAATTATTAAATATTTTATTATAATTATATTTTATTTTTAAAATTTATTATATATTTAATTGTTGCAAAAAAAGAACTGAAGTAAGAAGTAGTATTGGCTACCAAAGGTTTTTTTTTGCAAAATAATAAAAAAATTATTAATAAGTTTTCAATAGCCATTTTTTCGATATACATACATACATACATGTGTATGTCACACATAATGCCAGATATATCTTTTTAGATTTTTAAGACTGTACTTGTTTTTAGAAAGCGATAAATCTAATGACAAACTCAAGTGTCATTTTATCGATAATAGAAAATGATAGTTAAAATAAAATTTTTTTCTTAGTAAGCTTAGCATTTGAGTTTGTGTTATTTTAAATTAATAATGAAGAAATATTTCTATTTCAACATTTGTTTCACAATTTTATCTAAGTAAAAATACTTCTAAATACAGGTATTTGAAAAAAATGTATTTATTTACTTAGCTTAATAATTTTTTTTTTTATAAAGGACTAACGTACGGTCAGCGGAAGTTTTATGTTTTAAAAGCAAATATCATTGAAATATATCATTATAGAACCTCTAAGAGGTAACAAAAAAATTTTCATGTAGTATATATATATGTATTATATAAAAAAAAATTTTTTTATTAAATTGTTGCAAAAAAAATGAAAGTAAAAAAATGTTTATAAACATAAACTCCAAACATTTGCAACATATAATAAAATTAATTTAGTGAAGACTTTCAATTATAAAAACGTATAAAAAGCATGTTGCAAAAATCTTATTAACAACAAACAACTATAAAAATATTGTTGCCTTTACACAAGCAACAAAAAGTTAAGCTGAAAAGCCAAATTCTAGAACCAATCATTTCACAGATTGTCAGAAGACGCTATATAAACACTTAATTTAGTATAGATGCACAGACTCATACTTAGATTCATGTTGCTTAAAATTACGTAGTAAATTTTTTTTTTGTACAAGTCGATAACGCTGATAAATAATTTGATTTAAAAAAGATTAATTGACCTCCTGCACATGCGCCAGTAAGCTTATAATATTGCGCAAGTTACAGCCAAAAACATAGAAATATGTCTATGTTTTTGGTTGCAGCCTTACCAGCTGTTTATTACAATCAGAGTTTTTTGCTGTTGCCGGGTAATGCGAAAAAATATAACAGTGCTTTTACACATATTCTATATTTCTCATATTTCTTTGTGAGAATAGCAGTGGAATTAGCTGCAAAAAATAACTGATAATGCACATCTCTTTATTTATTTTCATTTGTGTTTCTATATTGTTATCTGCAATATGGTTTTGATACACAAAAAAAAAAAAAAGGTTTTTCCAAGAATCAATATGAGCAAACGTATTTTTGTAGCGTGCATTTAAGCTTTTGTTTTTGTTTTTTCAATGCATTTGTTTGGTGTGATGGTTATAAAAGTGTGCTATAAATAAACATTAAAATATCACGTTGTTGCACATGTCAATAAATAAACTGATAACTGATTGAAATTCTAGTTAAATAAAAGAAATTTTAACAAAGCACAATTAATTCAGATGTTTTGAAAAGAATTTTTATATGCGATATCAAACAGAAATTAAAAAAGAAAATAAATAAATTTGTGTATAAGTTTGCAGAATCGAATTAATAAAAAAAATAAATCGAAATATATAATTAAATCGAATGTTTTGTCAGCAACTTAATACTTATCGTTTAAAATTACAATATAACCAACTATTAGTTATATAACCCATTTCAATAAATTAAATAAAAATTCTCTAATTTCTGCCGCTAATGGAAACGCAGGTTGACTTTCTTTCTTTATGAGCTTTAATTTAATTATATCTTATCGCATTAGTTAACTACAAAGACCTAGTAGTATTCAGTAGACTGCTTTTATTTCATTTAATGTCAAACCTTTTCCTGTTGATTTAGCGGTCCAAAAAAGTACTCCACTGAACCATATATTGCATACGCTTTGATTACGTACATATCCATTGAACTTAGAACTATTTTGCATTTCTTCAACTTGACAATTTTTAGACAAGAAATTTGATTAAGCAAGAATCATATAAACAATTATGGCATGTGTTCTCTTTTGTCATATATAATATGTAGTATTGTCATTGGTTATGTTTTTATACATATGTTCAAACACATATTTATCCACCTTTCGTAGATTTTTACTGCCAATGTTTCGTAATAAAACCATATGCTAAATTATTTGAATTAATCAATTTGGAGATATTAGTGGTTTTACAGTAAATTTTTTTTGAATAAATCTTTTTATTGACTAATATTGATAGTGAACTTTTTTCCATGCAAATTTTTTTTTCTTTAAAGTTAAACATCGTGGATATTAGATATATTTATTCTATAGTCCTATTGATAACCTATAGTTCGATCATTCACTATCTTTTTATTTTATGAAATTATTAAACTAAATTCAAATTTATTAAGAAATGAATTAAATGAACTCACATTTATTGAGTCATTTAGTTATAGTTTTAATAGTTATATACAATGTTATTCTCATAATATTAGTCATTATTTTCAAGATTTAGAATAGGAACTACCAGCGATATCTTCAGTATTTTTAGTACTAAAAGTTATATCTACAGAATTTAGAATACTAGTACTTTTACCTTTAGAATTTATAATACTATTTGTTTACTATTCCTTTGATTTTAAATATTACTAGTTTTAGCGTAATAGGTACTCCTATAAATAGTACCTATTATTGCGCCAACAAACAGTTGAAACGTCAATTTTGTTCATAATAAGATTACTAGTTATATATTTTTTATTTAAAATAATTACTTTAATGAGGACTACAATATTAACTTATATTAAGTATAAATGAAATATAATTTATTGATAAATTATACTACAAGTTGTACAGTCAAAATTTAAAAAATAATTACTATAATATTAAATAGTCGTTTATTTTATAATTATAATTATAATATAATAAAATTACAATTTTAATGTTAAGTTTATATTTTATAATAATATAATATAATTTAATTAAATAATTAAATTTTACTAGTTCTAAAAATCAGTTTCGAACCCATAAATGTTAGTTTTCTTTGCTTTGTTTTCTTGTGTAAAATAAATAATTATAATTTTTTTTTATCTATAACTAGTTAAATTAATAGTTTTGTTGAGACTATTTTATAATTTATTTAAAATTGTTTTTTATTCGTTAATCAAACTAGTAGCGTTTCCTGTTATTGACTTCTGAACTCAAATGTCTTATATCTCATATTAGTTTTTTTTTTAAATTTTGACTAAATTTTGGCTTAACTTGTAAGAAAATGAAATTCATCAATTAATTTACTTTGGCAATACGTTAAAAAGCTAGACAGTTGCTGGTTGAGATACTCGTTATTTTGCTTTTGTAAATTTATTTGAAGTGTCTATCACTATAGAAGACACTAATCTATCATATTCGCATGCCATTTCTTTGGATAATACTTAAAGCTTTGATTTTACTAATTTATTTTAATGTTAATACATGTATATTTATATATATGTATATACTTATCTACTATGCTTGGACGAGCTTTGAGTGGGTGAAAAACAAAAATTATTTTAATATTCTTAATATTTAGTATGAAACTTTACATAAAATTCTTTTATATAAGCAAAAATATTCTAAGTCAAGGTCAATCCGAGGCGCGTGTAAATAATTAGACTTTTGACTTAAAGTAATCCATTGTTAATTTTGATTAACAGTCTTCTCTCGTTAAATTTTATACGCATTATTCTTTTAGCAATCTGGAAATTAATTAATGAAATGTTAATTCTTTGAAAATAAATGACTTATTACTTACTATTAGTTTAAAATATGTTTAATAATGATATATGTTTATAATATAAGGTTTATTTCATATTAGTTGTTCATAATATTATATTGTAGATCGCACTATCATATAAAGCATATTTTCATGTTGATTATTTAAAGTTGAAATCGATTAACTCGTTCTTAACTATCAACTTGTATATTAACTCCCAAGTTGTTCATGCACAAATTCCTACTAGCTATTGTATTCTATATTAGATGTATGCATTCCAATAAGAGTTTTATATAAATAAATGTATATGATATATTAATTCGTCACACACAAAATTTAAATATTCTTTCAGTATTTAATCAATGCCCACTTATCTATTGTATCGACATTAAATCCAAATAAATAATCTGATTTATTAACAACTAATATTTACTAGTACACATTGACAAGTTGTACAACTTTTTTTCGATTCTTTCAATTTTCAATTCACGAGTTAGAATTTAATTTTTATTGTTATTTGTAGCTTTTTTAAAAAATTGAAATTAAATTGATATTATAAGCATTTAATTTTTATTTACTTAAGCTAAAATTTATTGTTTTAACATACCCGTAGTTTTCAATCAGTAACTCGTTTCTTTGCTGTTATTAACTATTAGTAAGCGATTTCAATAAACTATAATTAACTATACTTTTACTGTTTCCTTACAATAAAAGAACACTTTGTATTATACTCTTTAAAGGATACGATTAAAGAGTTTATCTATACTTACTTACATCAAGACATTTTCAACTTCTAATTATTAGTTAACGAGTAGCTAATAATCGCAATTATGTTTTCCAATAAACTAATTATATTTTTTATCACACTCTTGAAGAAGCTTTTTACTCAAAATAAATAGTCACTATTTATTAATTAGTGACAATTTTTTTACCAATTAAGTTTTCTTTTATGTTTTACTCGTTAAAAAGCTTGCGAGTTTAAATAAGGTAACATAGTATTTGTTTAAAAATTGCTTATATAGTAACTATAGTGAAGATTTTTTACTTCTAATTAATACTTAGCAGCAGATAATAATTTTTTTTATTTGAAATCTCTAGCTTTTTACGGTTTATTTAAAACTTAGTAAAGTTTTTACAAATGTACTAGTACCTGGCAAAGTACTAATGCCAGGATAACACCAGTTGCGTTGCAGTTTCTGATATTAAATAGAAATCTTGTTAAAATAATGAAATATAATTAATATGATTAAACAAATATACCTGATATAACTATCCCAAAAAAATTGTGCTTCCAGTAAAAATAAATCTTTAATCAGCCATCAGTTTTTTCTTTCACTCATTTGCATCATTGTGTTAGACAACTCGTTACTTTTTACTAGCTTATAAGTGCTTAAAGTTATATGTAACATGCATTTTATACGTTTTTTAAATAATTTTTGTGTAAAGATACTTTTATGTCTCGCTTATATAAAAAAAATTTATTCTCTACCCCCTCCGATAAAAAAATTAAAGAAATAGTAAATTGGTTTTGTTCTAATTTTTAAGATTCACTAACAAATCAAATCCAAAAAAATTTTAAATTTTTTAGATTTTAGAAATTATATCTTAACGATAAATCTTGTTGGCACATAAATTAATAATTAATTTTATCACAAAACGAAGAGAAAAATTTTTATATGCGCTAGATATATTTATCAAACAATATAACAATGATCAATATATCCATGAAATAATCAATTTTTTTTTTAATATAACCTAGTCAAATGATTACTTTTTACAATTTTTTAATATTAAAATTATTTTACAGATTCTTCATACTAAGTGTTTTGTCGGCTTGGAGGATATTTGCTTATTTTTGTATCTTTCCCTTTTATCTGAAGGGTCTAAGACTGAATGTACGCTCAAATTGTCGTTTAGTCTTCTCAGTAAAGGATTTGTTTAACTAAGCAACATTTTGAGAACACAAATTCTTGCTTCAAAGGATATATGTAATTTTTGTATCTAACTGGATCAAGACTAAAAAAATATTTGTTAAATCAATTCTTTAATCTTTAAAATAGTGTGGACAATCAACTCAACAGTATATTGAGGACAGAAGTACTCAAATATTTTGATGTTGACTATCTTTATTTATCGCTTTGGAGAGTATTACCCAACTTGTATCAATCTTTTTTTTATAACTGATTGAAGACTACGTGTACACTTAAATCGTCATTTAGTCTGATCAACACAGGAATTTTACAAAGGATATATGTAATATTTCTATCGTACAGGATCAAAGAAATGTGTATTTAATATATTTTTTAATCCTTAAAATAGTGTGGACAATAAACTCTACAGTATATTGAGAATAAAAGTACTCAAATATTTTGACGTTGATTAATTTTACTTATCGCTTTGGAGGATATATCCGAACTTGTGTCTATCTTTTTTTTGTAACTGATTGAAAACTACGTGTACGCTTAAATCGTCATTTAGTCTGATCAACAAAGGATTTTTTACGAAGGATATATGTAATATTTCTATCGTACTGGATCAAAGAAATGTGTATTTGATATATTTTTTAATCTTTAAAATAGTGTGAGCAATTAACTCTACAGTATACTGAGAACATAAGTACTTAAATATTTTGACGTTGACGATCTTTACTAGTCGCTTTGAAGGATTCCCAGAATCCCAATTTGTATCAAATTTTTTTTTTTTGTAACTGGTTCAAGACCAAGCTTGAATTTGCATTCATTTAATCTTGATTGCATTGCTTTACTCAAGAATTAATACCATATTTGAAATTAAATCAAGGTCACATCACCTCTACCTACTGGTTTCAATTGTGTCAAAATTTTTAAGAAATTTGTTTTTTTCTCAAACAAGAAAAAAGGTTTGTAGTTTAATGATGATCAATTTCAGTAATAAATAAAAATTAATCATTAAATTTTATATATCTAACAGCAATAGCAAGTTAAACTGAACATCTATCTGTAAGTAGCATGAACTTTTTTTTTATTTGACACATAACAGATACATTTTAAACACCATAATGCCAACAAAAACACAAAATAATCGCATTCCGAAGAATAGCAATCGCTCGTCTACCTGAACAAATAAGTTGCCAAAAACTGCAGAGATAATCGTCGACGAAGGTAAACTATAGAAACTGAAAACAAGAGAAATATTACTGTAATTATTAATAACGACTAATAATTATGATGTCGGTATAATATCAGAGGTAAAAAACCTCTTCTTCAATAGTTCATTTCATTAAGAAAAGCTACAACAATTAATTACGAACTATAGCTAAGACCCGTGATATTATGTATCTTGTTGTTGCATCACTGGGCTTCTCTACTGAAATTTACCATACTATAGTCGTCACATCAATAAACTGATTATTTCTATATATAATATAGAACACATCACGAATATCGTCATTCATATGTACATACATATATATGAATATGAATATATATTTATATATATATGTATGTATTATGTTATTAATAATTGCAATCATTTAATTGATAGGAATTATTTCAAATAATAATTAAATTTTTTTTTGTGGATGTATAGCCGAAACTCCTGTCAATTGTAGCCACGTTCTTACAATGCCCAATACTATACACTCATCTAACTTAGCGATAAAAGAGTCCCGGTTATATCGCTTGTGGATGGGCAATGTAAGTGTTAATTATATAAAATTTTTATTTTTTTCTTTTTTAATACGAAAAACTTTCAAAACTTTCTTTAAAAACAGATCCAATGTTATATGGATCCGTATTTCGTTATACAAGCATTTCGCTATATGGGTTATAAACCTTATGGAGTTCGTATAGTGCGTTGTATACGCTCTCAGTCAGATTTACGTTTTGCATTTGTACATATATTTTGATACGCACAAATTGACGCTATCTGCAATACTTAATTGCAATAACAAACCGATACCGTACTTGGTATCAAAAGACTTATTTCGTCTTAACATAGCGAAACCTGAGATTGCTCCAGAAATAGATGAGTATCGCGTACACCTTGGCAACATAACTGATGAGGTAGATAATTATTTGCTTTATAATTCCTTTAGCGAACGTTATTCTTCGGTCATACTTACAAAGGTAATTGTAAATAAAGAACATTTTTCTAATGGCTTTGGTTTTATTCGTTTCTCCAAAAAGACCGAAAGTAATACAATAGCAGAAGAAATGAATCATTTTAATGGAACAGGTCAGCGACCAATTAATGCAGACCAAGAACGTGATGAAGAAAATGAAACTTTATATCAAGAATTGGCAAGCGAGTATGAAAATGAAGATACAGATGATGAAGAACTTCATCATTCAGTGTATATGGAAGATATCAGAGGCAAATGCAATGGGCACTGCTGCTATAAAGGTGTGGGTTTTTATCATTGTAACAAATGCTTACTCTACCGGTCTAGTTTGCAACGTTTTGCGTCAAACACAGTGTTTTACAACGAAAGACCTCGTAGAAATAGTCGAATACCGCAATTAGATAATAATCGCTATGATACGCCTCATGAAACTATCACCTATGCCGAATATCCTGTAAATAACGTTGAACAAATTAATAGAAGCCGAGTTCACAGCCAGTCTTCAGAAATTGAGGTAGCACCAAATAGTGCAACTGTTAGAAATACTATTTTACCTGTACCATATGAAAGTCCGAATCAACATCCAGAAATACGTTATGCTATTCCAGTCACTCAATCTAATGCAGTAGCGGATCACGTTCGAAGATATCATTATATCCCGCAATACATACCAAATTGTTGTGAACGTAATTCACAATATGTATGTCCGGACAACATGGTTCCACAGGAGAGCATTTACGCAGCAGATTATTCACATGCTTATATACCTGCTTCACAGTATCGGACTGTATCTGCAGAACAACTGACTGAATTCAGTCAGCAACAGCAAATCGAACCGACAGAACATAATCAAACTACTGCAGAAGAGCTAACAGAGGAAGTTCCAAGACCTAGACAGACTTTAAGCGCAACTGCGCCAGTTTTTATACCTCGTCAGGCACCTCTACCACGGCCCATTATATTTTATCCAGCACCAGCGCAATCCTACTATAATGTTCCACACCAACACGTAAACCATTCTCATTACAGAAGTGCTAATCCAAATTTATTTGTGCCAATGCCTCCGTATGTGAGAAACCCGACACCATATTATGCTCCAACATATTTAGCTCCGCAGCAACAGCAACAGCCACAGCCACCACCACAACCGCAACCACAACCGCAACCGCAATCACAACAACCACCAAATGCTAGTGCTAAGAAACCCACTTCTGGTCTTGGCCGTGGTCCTACTGGAACTAGAAGAGAGAGACGTGTTTGCCATTATTGCTCGGAAACATTTATTGAAATTCTTAGTGATAATAATGAAGACGATACCACTAATGTTGTTAATCCGGCCCCAAAAGACAAACCACATATTTGCAAGCCACAAAATCCTAGCATTGATAAAATTTCCACTATTTCTAGTATTTTGAATGGATTAGATGCTGCCAGCATTAACTTAGAAAGCGATATAAGACCTTCATCTTCCAGTGCCAAAGTTGATAAGCCTTTAGTTGAAAAAACAATTGACCTTGATTTGCAACCGTCTAGTATTTTGAATGGATTAGATGCTGCCAGCATTAACTTAGAAAGCGATATAGGACCTTCATCATCCAGTACAAAAGTTGATAAGCCTTTAGTTGACAAAACAATTGACATTGATTTGCAACCGTCGACTTCAAAAGGTAATAAAAGTTTAGCTAAACAAAATGATGCGGAGGGCGCTGCGAACATGCTATCAATTTCGAAAGACACTAAGAGTATAATTGACTATCTACATTCTGAATTCAAAAAGAAGCTGGCTGACTACCCAAGTGATAGCTCAGATGAAGATATTCAATTACTCTTTCGAACCGCAACTACTAATATGGATTTAATGCTGGACAAAATTGATAGCGCAAAAAGTAGTAAAAGTGATAAAAGTGGTGAAAAGAGTATTGAAACATCAAAGGCTAAAATGAGCTTAGTTGAAGATGAGGATAATAAAAAGAAACCAAATTTTGAAGCACCATCTACTAGCTCTAATACGGTTGGAATTGTTATAAGTGCTCAAAATGTTGATAGTATAAAAACCGATCTAACTATAAATGAAAGTGAGGCTTTGAGTGATTTTAAAATGTTTGCCTTATGTAAACAGAATACAGACAACGATAATCAAATGCAGTCTATAACTAAAAGACAAATGAAAAACTTACGTAAACGTCAAAATCGTGCTGAAAGGAATAGCATTAATCAATCACTTAAAAAACGCGAGGAAGAGTTAAAAGTCACAGTTCTTCAACATTTAATTGGATGTAAAACTGTAGGTAGAGAGAAAATTCAACAAGCACCATCTACGTCCACAAATGTTAAAAAGAACTTAAATGCTGATCAACCCTGTACCACAACATCCACTTGTTCACAGTCTGAAAGTAGCGCAAACACGAATCTTCAAACTTCGCGTATAAAGTCAGATTCTAAACAACCTCAAATTACTAAGAATAACATTCAAACACAATCTGTATGCTCAAATGTTAAAAACAAGGTTATTTCCGGTCAAACTAAAGATATAAAAACCACCGTTCAAACACAATCTACTCACTCAAAAGGTAATGACAATGTAGTTGCTGGTCATTCTAAGCATAACAAAGCCACTGTTCAAATGCAAACCACTCGCTCAAAAGGTACTGGCAATTTAAGTGCTAGTAGTCAACTTCTTGATAATAAAAACAACGTTCAAATACAATCAGTACAATCAAAAAGCGATAAGATGCCAGGTGAACCTAAAAATATCAAAAACTCGGATCAAACACAATCTAAGCGAACAAAAGGCGACAAGAAATTAATGTCCGGCCCTATCAAATTAATCAAAACCACCCATGAAACGCAAGCCACATGTTTGAAAAGTAATAACAAATCAGCTGCCAGTGAACCTGTTGTCAAAACCGCTGATGTAACAAAATCCATTCGTTCAAAAGACAATAAAAAGTTAACTTCCAAGCAACCTGATGGTCCCAAAAACACCGATCGAGCACAACCCACACATTCAGAGGGTAGCAACAAATCTCATACTGTTACTGGTCAATCTCATAATGTCAAAACTGCTGTTGTAACAAAATTCAATCGTTCAACTTCAATCGTTAATGACAATCTAATTGCTCACCAACCTCTGGGTGGCGATTCAGAAAAAAATATCCAAACACAATCCATATACTCAAAGGGTGATAAAAATATCAGTGAAAGCAATTGTGTTATAGCTAATGCTAGCATAAGTACACCTAACGCACATGGTACAGATATTGAAGTTCCAAAATTAGACGAACTTTCAATATTAACCACTGAATTCAATTTGCATCCAATTAAATTCCATAAAACTATAAGTGATTTCCAAAAAACATGGCAGTCGCACAGTGTAGACGTCTCATGTCAACATATACAAACGATAGACCCACAAACAAATTTAGTTACTAACATTGGTGACATTGGTGGCACTGAAGTGCAAGACATCACACGTTCTGAGGCGATAATCATGCCTACCAAAACATTTAAAGTGAAGCACTTTATTTTACAACCTGAAGGTCACACTGGTATGACTATGTCTGATAATGAAATTGAAGATCTATTACGCGAAGTAAACAATAATTTGAGCACATTTAAACTTTATTCATATGAACCATCCGCTGATGGTAAATCTGAAAGTGATAAGGATGCTTTAACATCACCAGATCCAAATAACAATGCTACTTCAACATTACCAGATCCAAATAACAATGCTGAAATTGTTAATAGTAATCTAAAACCATCTTTTGTGTGTACAATGATTTCGGACAAAAATTTATATCTCAAAAATATGACACCGTTAGCAGTAATTAAAGCTGATCCCAATTTATTGAAACAGACTTCCACTTCAGTGGAAGTCTTGCGACAAATTTTCAATTGGGATGAACTCTCAGTGCAAGCTTTGGCTATAAAAGGTGAAACTATTATTGTTTACAATGAAAATCGGGAAGAACTCACAAGTATACCGCCAGCAAATACTACCAAAGTTTGTACTGAGAATCCAATAACTAATGTCCGTGGAGAGGGAAAAAATGATGCGTGCATACAAACGGATGTCAAGGAACTGATGATGAAGGCTAACAAAAAGGAAGTTGTCGACAAAATTGGTAAAGCTAATGATAATACCAATAAAATGACAAAAATTGATACACAACAAGAAGTTTCAAAAAATAATTCATATAATGCTAATATGAGAGAAACTGATTCAAGTTATGCTGATACTGATACCAAGCTTAATCTTTCTTCAAAGGTTAAACATCCTCCAAACAAAAAAACTTAGAATATATCATCAAAAACTAAAATAAAATTATATATATATGTATTCTTATACAAGTATATATATAAACAATGCCTTTAGAAAATACTAAATGTGCACTAAATCAAATCTACAAAAACTGAATCTTTTTTTAAATATTCATCTAAATTACTTTATTTTTCAAAACTTATTAATATTACTAAAATTTGTTTTGAATACGAAAAATGTTAAAATGCAAATATGCGTATTTAATTTAAATATTTAAAAAATTATTTCTAAAGACTGAATAAATTGAGACTGCACTTGGAGTACAAAATCTTGCTCAAAAAAACCAAAACCATATTTTTTGGATCATATTAAAATTACAAAAATTGATTTTATATACGGATTATGTTAAATCGAAAATTTTCGTATTAATTTTAAAAAATTAAGAACTAAAACGGCTTGAAAGACTGAAAATTTTTGATTACACCTGGAGTACAAAACCTTTTAGGAAATTTCAAATTAAAAAAAACAACAACAAATCAAGCAATAAATAAAATTCAACACGCAGTAAAGAAGTAAAGAAGAAGTAGTGTATAATGAGGATATACAAATATTAAGCAAATACAAGTATAATAAGGAAATGCATCAACTGAATACTCTATTAGAAATAAAAAATTATGTATTATATCTGCTCCCAGAAGTTTTATGAACTTCTACAAATTTAAACAATGCAACAACCACAGCTACATTTTTGGAAATTTATTAAAACCACAACAACTTGTTTTAAATACAATGTTAAAATTTATTTAATTTAATTAATTGAAAAATATTATTAAAGACCAAAAATATGAGGATTGCACCTGGAGTACAAAGCATTTCAAAAATTATATAGGAAAAGAACAACATCAAATTGGATGAAGTGAACCCACACCTCAAGGACATGCATTACCATTAAGGACTTAAATTTGTATGAAAAATTATTAATTAAATTAAAATAAAATTGTATATGTTTACTTGTTTGTTGAACAAATAAAGCGTGTTTTAATTTAACAATTTTTGGAGTAATTAGTTTGGTAAGTTCATTTCTTTGATGTATAATACCAACAGATACAATGTAATTGGTATTATCTATATAATACAATGAACACTAAAATTACAAGCAGTTGGAAGTTAAGCTAGCATAGCATATCTTACATAGACCAACATTATATTAACAGTAATAATGATAATGGATACAGATCCTTGGTGCATTTCCTTTCCGCAAGTAAAGTTAGAGCATGAACTATTAATTCAATATTTAGTGCACTATGAAAAAATACTTAGAAAAATTATTTAAATATATATATATATATATTTATGTATATACCTGCAATTAATACCAAATATATTCAAATTTTATGAACAATAACATATGAACATCATTTTTGTATTGTAATTAGCTTGTCCTCTTCGGATTACTGCGCAGACGAGTACTGTTAGCAATAGTGCTTTACGATAAGCAGTACTTTCAAACCACTTCGGTACAGGGGAGTGCTGAATTTTAAGTAGTACACCTCATTAAAAAATTAAATGGCATTTGTACAGCAATTGATATTATGTATGCATTGATACAAAGTTGTTATTTCTATAATAAGAAAAAAATGTTAAAAATTGAGAGTATATAAAGTAATGGTATCGGTTATCTATTTTATTAAATTCAATAAAATTTAAAAAATCACATTAAATCATTATTAACATTTTATTTTATTTAAAAAAAAATTTTCATACAAATATTTCGAATTACTTCCGATTCAATTAAATTAAATTAAACTTTACGTCGAAAATATTAATTAATCTTATAAAATTCTCAATAATAAAATAAAAATAAAAAGAAATTAACTATTCACATATATTTTAACTATTTATTCATAAATTCAGCACCAGGTGTTTCCCAGTTCGAATATATAACTGTTTGATTTCACTTTTGCAATCATCACAATTTATAACTTACCATCTTTAGCAACCTATTCGAAATCTTCCAGCAACACGATTTTTTTTTATTTGCCGCATCCTCGATCAACTTTGTGACAACCGACTTTATATTCTGTTCCATTTTACACATCAATCAGTAATTTATCAGCCATTCAGCCATTTTTTTGGAACCCAATTTAAGTTTCGAACTCAATTATGACACTGTGTAACTACATTATATACATTAGCATTCCATTCAAAAAAAAAGTATTTCTCTCAATTTATGAAGTATTAATTGTCTGGGATTAACATAGTTAACACAATAACTAATAATGTCGGTAATGTCGCCATTTTTATTATAAAACATATATTAGCAACATCCGTCATAATATTTGTATATGTACATCAACGAAATTTGATATAGTCAGTACCTGTTTTTTTTTTTGTTCTGATTTTGGTTTTATATTGATATTTTGGTCTATGTTAAATAGTACACAACTTTTTAAATTAGTTTTAAAAAACATATTTCATTGTCACCAAAATCTCGACTATAGTCTATGGGTGCTCTTCAAAGTACTTCAAGGTAGTCTATGACTATTTAACATTCATCAATTAACCTATTCAAAAATATATAAATAAAACAATAAATTATAAAACATTTCTAATTAAAGTTTAAAAAAAAAAGTTTACTAGTTTGAGTACTTCAAGAAGAAATATTTAGGAATAGCACACATGTTTCATGACGTGATGACATATCTGTTGTCTTATAGCATTGAAGGTCTGAACCAAAACAAAGAAAATAAACCAACATATTCTCCAATTATGATTTATTTTAAATTATTTTTTAAGCCAATATCTCAAGAATTTTTGAAACTTAATTATAATTTCAAATTTGTTTCCTATTTTTGCTGCGACGATAGTGAATCCAGAACGTTCACCTGATCGCTGTTGGAATTATTATAAATCAGGTTAATACTCATCGATGTTAGATATATATTTTAAATGTTTTTATGTGTTCACTGTTTTTGTAAGGACGATGAACGACACTTAGAATGTAAACCCGGTCACTTTTAAGGTTATAAATCAGATTAATACACGTCGGTGCCTTATAATTATTTAAATTTTTTTTTTTTTGCCTTTTCTGTTTTATTGCAACGGTGAACGGCACTTAGCTGTCTTGAAAAATTGGCAAATCGAGTATGTAGACCCGGTCGTTTTTAGAATGTCTGATAAATAGTTTGAAATTTTCTTCTGCTTTTACAGTTGGAACAATGAACGGCATTTAAATGTCCAGAAAAAGTGATAAGAAGATGTAGAAGAAGCGGCCTGGAAGATGTAGGCCAGGTCGTTTTTGGAATAATAAATCAGGTTTCTGCTGATATAATGAGCACGAATACTATAACAAAACATATAAAATATAATAATTAAATAGTTTAATTTTTTTAATTAGCCGTTAAATTACCTTGAGTATTTTGAGAAATCTTGAGAGTAGTAAACGGCAGTTCATTTATTTCAAAATATTCTATAATTAAATATTAAAATTAATTTAATTAATTAATCTCAAATAATTGGTGAACTTTACATATTAGTCTTCTATAAACTTGAGTTCACCTATCTGAATTAAATTTAAAAATTAATTATTAAATCATAAATGGCTATAATGAAAGACCCAATCCGACCTGCTAGGGTAGAGTAGATTATTTACGTATTACTGCATAATTGTTAATATATTATAATTCGGAGACATCCAAATACTTAAGTGTGCCCATAACTGAAAGAGCCGACGTCTGCAGTTCTAGGTAGATTGCGTTAAACTCTCATTTCGAGCCATAATATAAATAGCGTAAGCATGAAAGTTAAGTAAGTAATGGACAGAAAAGAGTAAAGTACCAACAAAGTACTTAATACAATTTATTTAAATGTAAGTATTAAAATTACACGCATTCTTACGCAAAATAAACAAAACCATCAACAACAACAACAACAACAAAGTCACTAATGTTGTATATATGTATGTGTGAATGGGCAATGGCGACAATTTTACTGGGTCCACACAACTCGAATCCCTTGCAATTTCTTTGCCTACATCATATGTGTGTGTGCCTTCATGTGTGTATGTGCGTTGTTATTGTACGTACTCAATTCCATGGCTGCAATTGCAATTATTCATTTACTTATAAGCGCCAGTCTCAGTTTTACTGGTAATAAAATACGCATTTGCCTGCAACTTATGACACCCTCCCTTGCTTTAAATCTTTTCTACTTAAGAGCCAACTCCATACTCTACTATTTTGCAATAAGAAATCCAGCAAGCAAGGGGCAATAAAATAACAGCCACAAATAACAGCTATAGAGAACAAATGAAATGCAAAAAAAATTAAAAAAATAAAAAGAAAAAAAACAAAATAAAAATAAATTAAATTAAATCAAGTGTAAGCGAAGCATAAAAGCGCAAACATTCAATGTAATTTGCAAAAAACGCCAAAGAACAACAAAAAAATATATTCACAACAACAACAACAATGACAAAACCAATAACACCTTTAAATCTTATATTTACAACAACAAAAATAACAACAACAAGAAGAAGAAGAACATGTTAACGTGAAACACCTTAGTGCGTTGATGAAAGAGTTGACATTGTGTGGACAAAACTCAACGACGTTGTTGTTCTTGTTGTTTTTGCTGTTGATGGCGGCGTTAATGTCGCTGCTACTGTTCGCAGTTTGTGTTATGTTTTGGTATATTTTTTTTTTGTGTTAACAATTCAGTCACGCATATAAAAATTATACTAAAATAAAGTTAAACACCAAAAGCTTTAAGTTAAGTTGGCATGAGACAGACGGACACCCAATAATACAAACGATAAGAACTGTATGGAGCAATAACAAATTAAGACTCATTGAGACTGCTGCGTCTGCATATACAAAAAATAATCATAAAAACAAAAACAACAACAACAACAAGAATTACAAGTCAACTGCAAAATTAGACCTTTAACTGCATTTTCAACGGTTTTATTTTTATTATGTGTCTAGTATAACAGCGGTAACACACCTATCAGTTAGTGCTATATATATGTATGTGTGTGAGTGAGTATGTTTGTTGATAAGTGTTTTAAGGATGAGTGATTTTCATGCTTTTGTGCTTTTTATTTTTATTTTGTTGTTGTGTCTTTTTCTTTTCGTAGTATTCATTTGTTGTTGTAATGAATTCCATCACGTCAAAAAAGGTGTGAAAATTGCTGTCAACCACTTTATAAATACCTATGAAATATGCCATTGAATTTACATGTACATACATACATATGTATGTATATTAAAGGGCATATATGTATGTAAGCATAAGATGTACATATGTATGTTGACAGAAATGTCTGTCTGGTATTAATATTTACCAAATGTGCTTATCACAAACATAATAAGGATAAAATTGTGTGGAAGCGCAGCAGACATTAACACGCTGTCATGACTTGAAAGATCATGCCATTTGTTATATTAAATAAAAACATTTCCTATTGTAATTATTGTTGTTGCCACTGCCACTGCTACTGCTACTGCTACTGCTACTGCTACCGTCACTGTTCTTGTTGTTTCTGTTGGTTTTGGTTTTTACTCCTGCTGCTGCTGCTGCTGCTAATGTTACTGCTACTGTGCTACTGTTGGTGTTGCTGCTGCTGTTAGGCTTAGTTACTGTCATTTCTCACTTGGTTAAATTTAGTTGCGTATGAATTGAAGCGTATTTCTATTGTCGTGTTATGAAATTCTTAAGGGAGCTTGAATAAATAAGCTCATGTTGATGATTTCCTCGGTGAATGACGTCGGGTTTTGCTACGGTTTCATTGTGCGCCTTATCAAATACCAAGTGTTTGTCGTTGTTGTCATCGTTGTGTTGTTGTTGTCATTGTTGTCATGCATTTACATGAAAGTTGTAGGCGTTAGTGTGTATATGTTTTGTATTAACTGCTATTGTGTATGGTATAGGCACGTGTGTGCGCCCTACTCCTACTACTCCTTTTAATGTATTATAACAAAATCATTCATTCCAGCGTAATACTGTTTTTGTTGTTGTTGTAAGTATGTGTGAAATTTTATTGAGCATTTGTGGCGCTATCATTTGCTAAGCTTATGTGTCAATAGTTAAAGGTTCAAATATCATTTCAACACTTTTAAAATAGATAACAAATGCTTATTCTGTGTCTGGACATGGTACACAATTTAAATCTACTTAGGAAATTAATATCTGCCCGGTATCCAACCAAATAACAATTTTAATTAGTGTTGTTTTGACAGCTGTCGTCGTTTTAATTCAGTGTTGTAAAGGTTTTGTGTTACGCTATGTTTGACAAATTAAGTACAACACACAAATTTGTTGTTTGTGTATTTTGTCACAATACAATTGTTAACTTAATTGGCTAGTGTTCGAGTAAATACTTATATTTAACAGTTTCAAAATAATAAAGAAAGTAGTAATATTTGTTTCAAAAAAATGTATTCTATAATTTGGTGTAAGTACTATAAAGAATATATATTTATAAGAATGAATTATACTAAATTTAAATTATTATTCAACAAAAAAAAAAAAATATGGAAGCAAAACTGTATTTAGCATTTGAACTTTTTTTTATGACTTAAATAGTAACAAATTACATACGAGAAATTTATTATTATAGCAATGGCTATAAAAGTGTATTATTAATTTTATATAATTATTTGTTGTATTAATTTTATAAAATAATTGTTCCCTATTCATCCAAATTAGTTTTTTTTAAGCACTCTTTTTGGGTATAAAAATGACGTCATGTTTTGATACTGTTATGTCAAATTAAAAAAGTAATAGATTTTGTTTGTTCACACATATACATATATATTAACATATTTTTGTGTATTAATAAAAATACAAATTTTGACATTAATTGTTGAGCAACACTGTTTTGACCCATATAGAAAACCACGGCATTAAAACTGAAGTATAATTGAAAATTTTTTATTGCACTCATTTTTAATTTATATTGACAAAGGACCAAGTAGTCCAGTTCCTTACTTTTAGTTAAGTTTAAAATTCATTTATTTATTTTATTTTATTTATTTATTATAATTAATTGTAAAATTTGAAATCTTGTAAATTTATAAATCTTATGACTAAGACCAGAAAAAGGAGCGCTATCTGCTAGGACTTTCAACTCAAAACTTTCAAATTAATTTTAATTTTAAAGTTTTAATTTTTTTAACCTACAAATAATTAAATTTATATTGAAAACTACAAACATTTTAGAGTTATAGTGACAATGATTGGCTGCATAGCACAGCCATTAGAGCTTCTCATTAAAGTTCGTTATCGAAATGATTTTTAAATTTTAATTATTTATTTTATTTTTAATTATATTGAAAATAACAATCATTTTTTATATAAAGTGACTATGTCTGACTACACACCAAAGCTCTCAGATCTTATTATTAAAGTCCGTTATAGAAAATCAGAACAGTTATGCTACAAATTGTGTTGAACTGTTATAGTATTTTTTAAAAGAACCACAAATATTCTTGTACCATATAAGGAATGATTTGAAAATCAATATTATTTTTATTAAATATATTCCATCAAGTGATAATCTAGAACAGGGCTGTCTAAAGCACGGTCCGCAGCCACATGCGGTCCGCGGCTATTGTTTGAGCGGTTTTCAATCTAAATCGGTTTTTAATACTAAATTTAACCTTATAACCGTATTTTTATTTTTATCGAAAACAACTATGAACGTATGTATTTGTTTCTACTGCTCCCAATATATACAGTTATTTGTATTGGCCCACTATCGTATTTGGTTTGGACAGCCCTGTTCTAGAACATGCTTGTTGAAACATTTGCACTACGTATCATATATATTAGCAGTTAATATCGTATACTTCCAAAACATCTTGAATTAATAATTATATTTAATTGTTAAGATATGGGAATAGACATTTTGTGAACATAATTTTGCACTAAAACCTATTAAAATGCACGAAATTTTGAAACGTGTTGCAAACATGCATTTCAAAACGTTTTGATTTTATTCAGATCTGACATCAAATTAAATTGTAGAAATGTCTACAGATGAATAATTTTTGCTTTGATAAAGTAAATATTGACCATCTGTAGTCAGTTGTCACTTCTTATTATTGTACAGTATCAAAGGATAATATCTCATTGCCAACAATATTTTTATTAAGTACATTACAATCTGCAATATCTATTATGAGAACCTTGAAAAAACATAAATTAATTAAAGTTTGATATACTCTAAAGCTATTGATAAGTCTTAAAACATCTATTGGTATTTACGAATTGTGCCATGTTTACAAACGCTTTTACATGGCTGCTTTATAAACAAATTTAACAATCAATATTAAGAACGTTCACACACAAAAATTAAAAATATTTTTAATTGTACTGTCAGCTGATAGTTGGCACTTGAACCTTAAAACTACTTTAAAAGGGTTTACGCAAGCTAAAAATCAATGTTAAGCCGCCTTTAAAAAAACGCTTTTAAACAGAACTCTTATAAGGGTTTAAGCTATCTTAAAATCAATTTCAAGAGCCCTAAAAAATTTATAAGAATCGCGTAAACGTTTTTGATAG